TTGTATTATTGAAGTGGCTTTCTGTAATAATGAAGGAATTTTTTTTAAATATAAAAATTTCACTTATAATATAACATCATTTATAAAGTATTAGTATAAAACTACCTTCAATAACTGATATATAATAAGGAAAATAATTTAACGTGTGTGTATCTTTTTTGTTCTTTTTTTGTTCCTCTTAGGTTTGTCACGAATAGCAAAATATTCTTAGGTTTGTCACGAATAGCAAAATATTCTTAAGGGCACATAAGTGTTACCCTATTTGAGCCTCATAAATTGCTGAAAAAGATTTTCTGTATATATACATACAATGTAATGATGACCTAAGATATGATCAGGTTTAAAGTCACCCTCAGAACTGGTTTCTTGACAGAAATTTCCACTTACAAAAAGTAACAAACAGTTTTCTTAAAGTTGCTAAATGTGATATATATATATATTTTTGGAAAATTTTTTTAAACAAATTGCAATGCATCTTTATTGCATTGAATAAAAATGCATATATATATTTTTAAATTATATATTTATGAAGGAAGCATATTTAAAATAATACGCATGGTATCTCATAATCAATCATTTACAATGTAAATCATTTACAATACGTATAAGGCAGTTAATTAATTTAATAGCTACCTTATTATAATTAAACATCCTAAAGATAATTTTGGATTGAAAAGTAGTACTTTTTTGAAAGCAAGTAAAAAATTTGTATCTCCAAACATTTTTATAGGATTTTTTTTCCATTTAGGATCATTTAATATCTCAGAAAATCAAACATTTTATAAACTTCACACTGCATTCAATAAAAAAATTAAAAAGTTTTGAATAAAAGTTCAGATTTAATCTAAATTATAAGTAACTGATTAGAAAATTAATATTACTCACATGCTAAATTCTGTAGTAGAATTCATAATTTTTTTCAATAGCTAACATTAAATGATTAATCGAATAAATAGAGCGTCAATGATTAAAAAAAATTTATAAATTTAATGAAAGTTTTTCTTTATGTACAACACTGAAATACTCTCCAACTAAAAATTTATATAATTTAACACAGAAGTAATAAAAAATTGATAATAACCAACTAAAAATACTACTACTAATAATAATAATACAATAGCAACAATAGCTATACCAATAAAATGACAAGAAATAGTTTTTCCTATTTATAGGAAAAATTGACTGTTGTATTTCTATTATTAATACGTTAGCTATAAGTTAACTAAATTAGCATATTTATGTTGCATAAATAAAATTATATCTCATTTCCTATTAGCATGAACAATATTAAACTGACCACTGCATATGCCACGATTTCCTCTTACATGTATTTAAATAAGGGAAAAAATAATTTGGTTTAATTGTTGACTTCACAATTGAGTCACGCAAATTGACTGTTGTCGATGATCTCGAAAAGAAATATTGAATTTTGTGAAGGGCGACTTTTTAGCAAAGAAATCAATGTACAGGAAAATCTCAGAAAAATGGGGGGAAATAATTTGGTTTGATTGTTAACTTCGCAATTGAACTACATTAATGATCAAAAGAAAATTTAAAAATCAAAAAGAAAAATTTATTACATTTTGTGCAAGATTACTATTTTAACCATGAAAAAATACAATATATTTCAAAAAGTTAAAATTTCTTGATTATCAATCTGTTAATACAAAAATATGCATTGCCTATAAATTGGTTGAGTAAATTTGTAAAAAATATTATGAAGATTAATAGTAAATTTATATCTGCATAAGTCGGATCTTTCTAAGTTAGCTACTGATATAACCATGGTTTTTAATATTAATCTGGCAAATTTTGCTTATTTTTGATATATAATCAAGAAAGCATCTAACCTTCTTAAATATTCAATAGTAAATTATTTTCTGCAATAAACTAAAATTTAAAAATTACGTTAATTTGTACATAATAGGCAAAAAAATATTTTAATAACGATATTCTTTTTGAAAATATTAAATCAACTTTTCCAAATTCACGATAATTAAAAAAATTCTTTATGAAAATCGAACATTTCCTTGCAATTCTTGTAAATTAATCAAAATGCTCGCAATCAAATAATAATGTAATCAAAAAATAGATTAGTACATTATTAGAAACAGCAATTGAATCGCAATTATTTTTCGACAAAATAATAAGTTTAAATGAAATAAAGTTACGGCAAGTTGGAATAATTTTTTGTTAACTATGTTGAAAGAAATGGAATTTAATAATTAACTATTTATGGAAGTCAGTATGCAGTATAAGCATGATTGAAATATTTTTAAATATATAGAAACTAAAGGAAAGATAAAATTATTTAAGTATGCAAATAAATTATAGATATGCAAATAAAATTTAAAAGGACAACTTTTTTCAATTCGATCGCAAGTCAAACACAGTTTATTGCTGTTTAAGCAAAATTACCTTGAAAGGTTATTTTTTAAATTTATGGCAAATTGAAAATAAATGTGTTGCTCATTTTCAAATTTATCTGCTAACTTATAGTCTGAAATAATTTCACAACAATCAAGCATTAGTTACAAAATTGCAAATTTCATGCTAAGTTTATAATCTTGAAAAAACATTGGGATTTTAAAAAGTCTATATTGTAAGAATAAGTATTGTAATATTGTGTATTGTCGATATTGTGAGAGAAGTTTTGTGCTTTTAAAGAATCAAGTGGTATTAAAAGTAAAAATTAAGTCAAGTAGTAAAAATTACGGCCTTAAAAATATATTTTGTGATCCTTAAAGAATTCATGCTGCAGAACTGTTTAAAAAGTTTAAAAATTTTATTTGTACTGTACTTTTTACTTTTTGTAATTTACTTTTTTTTGTCTTGTACAAATATTGTGATTTTGAGGAATCGTATTCTTCAGTAGCGTAGAAATATTTAAAAACTTTAATAAATTATCAGAAAATACTTTGCTATATTAATAAAGTTGACGGTACTGTAGATATATTTGGGAATTTTATAATATTGTAGGAATCTATAATGATTTTAAAAGAAATTGCAATCTTGCTTAAATATTTAATTATTTTCAAGAATTTAGTGAAAATATTTTAAGATTTCAAAAAATTTACGTTTTTATGAAAGTATTTTGTGATTTTCAAAGAATTTACAATGATGTGGGAATATTGAAATTCCAAAAAATTTTCTTTTTTAAATAAATTTTTAATTTTTCATATTTTTCGTGATTTTAAATAAGTATTTCTTTCATAGTTTTTTTTAAAAAAACGTTAAAACTTTATATTGATTTATTAATAGATAATTTCAACCGAAAACAACTTGGAACATTATGAATGTTCCAAATTTCAAAACAATCCAGCTAAATGGCTCTAGGTAATTCATTTAACCTCGCTGACATAATTTAATACGTGAAGAGGTTAACTAAACTTCTTACAAGACATATTGCGTTCGCTTGCATCAATTACGAAACAATCAACATTTGATGATAAGTTTATTTAAATAAAAAAAAAAAAATTTGTTGCTACAACGTAATATTCAACTACTTAGTATTTTGAACCGAGATTATACTATTTTTCTAATCTCAAATTTACTATTGAAGGAAAATAAATCTTCGTAAAATAATAATCAACCTACATAACAAACGATGCGTTTTTAATGATTACGTGGTGAGGAATTAAAGCTTTTCTTTTTACTAATATTTTTTATTTTTTTTTATTATTAAAATTTTCTATTTTCTTAACAATTGACTAACCCATTGGTTCTCAACCTAATTTCTCTTTTCATCACTGATAAAAGCTAATTTTTCTCTACAGAAAATTTAAAATTCACTTCTCAAACTTCAGCACATCTTAAAATTAAACAGCAAAAGCATAGAACATTTCGATATACCAATGCTTTATAGCTTAATGAATAAGAAAATGAAACTTCTTTATTTACAAATTATTCAAACAAAATTAATAGTATTTCAATTATTAAAAAAATACAGCAAATCAGTATATTATTAGTCACTTTGTTTAATAAGAAACGCGTGTTTTTTTCTACTCTAATTCTTTTATGCATCGAGTACTGTTTCTAAAACTGTTGTCCCTTCAAAATTATAATCAATTTATTTAAGTAGTTTTCGTTAGTAACACAATTTACAAATAGACTCTCGAAAATAAATAAGCAAATATAGAAACAATGCCCCACTGTGACAATGTCCTCTCTTTCTTGTACTTATTGATAATGCTTGAACATTAAAGACCAAAATTCTGTGACTGATTCCTTTTTAAACATGTCTTTTGCTTGGAGATACTTTTCTGAGACTGATTCCTTTTTAAACAAGAATCAGATCAAAGGGAAAAGATAAATCAGGCCGAAATTCTGTAACTGATTCCTCACTAGACATGTGTTTTGCTTTCTTTTCAAACATGTCTGTATCTGATTTCTCCTTAAACAGGAATCAGGACTAAAGGAAGAGGAATCTGATCAAAATACTACGATTCTTATATCATAAATTGGCATTTTCAACGAGAAATACTCGAAAAGTATGAGTTAGTTATTCCATTATGTTAAAAAAATGGATTTATTATTAATCCTACATGTAACGTAAAAATAAGCATGCTAATTAAAAAGTATAATACTTCGAATCAACTAGTACCAAAAGCGTAGTTTTAATAAAATGTTATTCTAAAGTTCACGAATTCTGGAAGTATCTTTTTTTCTCATTTTGAGTGGCTATAAATAATTTTTTAGATATTTTTCGTTATGAATAGGGTATACAATTTGTAAAAAATCTATTAATTGCTAGATTCCGTAAAAGTTTCTGCAATCTCAAAAAACGGGAATGATCCAATTAGGCCTTTATATAATGAACTAAACATATATACCAGATGCATATAATCTAAAGTATATAAAACGTATATAACACATGCTTGCGATTTTCCCAATTATGAAAAAATAAAGGGAAAAAGTTGAACTTAACATTAACTTCACATAAAAGTTGAACTTTACTTTCATATTAAAATCAACAATTATATAGAGAAAATTTCACTTACCCAACATAAGAAAAGGAGCGGCCAAATTGATTCCAATGAATTCCAGATTAAAGTACATTATCAGACCAAAAGCAGCTCCTACACCCATAATGGATGAAATGCACCCTATAACTCCAAGCCAAGGTTTACTTTTCACCCAGTCGGCCATCATACAGGTAACAATCGAAAAAACCAACATTATGACTAGTGTCAGGCTTAAGAAAGGCACTACACTTTGGGTGTTTTTTTGCAATTCCTTTGTCAACGTATTCGAAACGAACATAGCAAGCGATATATATTCAAATTGATCATTCAGAGAATCCACAGTTTCTAAAAAAGTAGCTTCCCAAAGTCTAGCCATACTTTCAGCCCTTTGGTTACTCCAGTCTAGGTAATACATTAGATTCGCAGCACTACAATTTACAATGACATTATTCTCATCTATACCAACCCCACCTAATGCTCCCCCTAAAAAGTAAACTTTGTTGGGGGTTTGCATCAAAGGAAAGGTCATTTTCACATCAGGATTTTCTTCCATTTCTCGAACAAGATATTTAAAATCCAGGATATCATTTTTGAAACAATGCCCACCAAGCTTTCTGGCACATATGTCCTCGTATCTCCATAACCGTTCTTCAAAATGGATCGTCAAGTTCTGAACTATCATGTTCAATTCATCTATTTCATCGAATACTTCGCTTCTTAGAACAGAACCTTCGTCCCGTGGGACAACTATCACTCTTCCAAAGTGTCCCGGTCTTGTTATCCGTCCTAAATCGAAGTTTTTCGAAGAATTCATTGGAAAAAGTGTTTCCACAATTCTCCTTTCAGTTTTGGATCGTCCGTTTGTGGGTGTAAACAAATATTCGGGATCATCTTCATATCGAATTCTTTGCAAACCGGATCCAAACAAAGCAGCCACAAGGATTGGAACAATCACGAAATATCCAGGATTTTTGGCGATTTCTCGACCCAAGTGCCGGAAATATTTAGACACAAAACGGTCCACACAGGCTAAATCTCTGCACAACATTTTTTTCCAGAATTCTTCACCAATTTCGATTTAAAAATTCCAATAAAATTCTAAAGCATAAAGAATTGTTCTTTTTGCATTAACTAAACCATTTTTTTCTTCTTAAATATCCCAGAGTAAATTGTAATTACTATAAAAATAGAACGTTGTTGAAATTACAATAATATATCCGCTTTCACGTGTCTACGGACATCTCAAATTGGGTCTTAAATAGTTCAAATCCATCTTGAAGAATAGGTGCTACGGTTTTCAACCGAAGAGAAAAACTGAATGAGAGGAGAATATTTCGGATCGTCTGCCACAGGTAAGAACGATGACGTCACTCTAACTGTCGACCAATGAATTACCGGACTACTTGAAAAGTTTACCGTTTTCTTTTTTGTTTTGTTTTTCTCTCTAATATATATGTTCCGGTTGCGTGGTTTTTTGTTTCGAGTGTATTACGGGGATTATTATTAACAAAACACGTTTATTATTTTAACGGATTTTTTTTCTTCTGAATACTTAAAAGATGACTTGTTCTAAAAATCAAATTCTGCGCTGGGTTGTTTGCATCAACGCTAATTTTGGTTTTGATAAATTTAATTTCCAAAATGTATCGTAAGAAAAACAGAATAATGAATAATCCGAATCGATTATTGTTAAATAAAAAAAAATATTTTTTTTTTGTTATAGCAGATTTCTTTGATTATTTAAAAGATTAAAGAATGGCTCTAAAATTCAAATACTGTTCTCAGTAATTTGCATTGTTATTTGCTTTGGTTTTAGCAAATATGATTTTCAAAATTTTCGTATTTCAATTTATCTTTACATAAACAAACTAATGAAGAATCCGATTTGATTATTGCTTAAAAAAAAGGAAAAGGCGTTTATTATTTTAGCGGATTTCTTTGATTATTTAGAAGCTTGGTGACTTGTTCTAAAAATAAAATACTGTGAATTATTTGTTTCGGTTTTAATAAACATAATTTGTAAGAATTGTAGATGCAAAAATAGCCTTATCAAATCATTAAATCATTTATTATTAACAGAAACGTGTTTGCTACTTTAATTCATTTCTTGGAATATCCAAAGGTGGATGACTTGTTCTAAAAATTAATGACTGTACGCAGTAACTTGTATTCTTTGTTAGTTTTAATACATTTAATTTATGAATATTGCAGGAAAAACATCTGTTTACAAAATTGCAGATTAAAGTATAAATTACAGAATAATATACTTTTATGTCGAGAATATTTAAATACATCACCATACCAAAAAACTTCGGAATAATTTTTGAATTTTTCCTTAAAAATTATTAATAATTTTTTATTATTTATAGTTTATTGTATTGCACTCATTAAAATTCACGTTTTTTTTCTGAGAGAGTGTTGTATTAGTTTATTCACGGAAAGGATCAACCGAATCATCTCAGATTCGCAGCTATAATAATGTTCAATACTGTATCCTTTGAATTTATACCTAACCTAGAAGACAAGGGAACTCCTGGATAAAGCATTGGAAAAATATCCTCTTCGTGGGGAACATTTTGAGTGAAACTAATTTTTATTTACATTTCAAGGAGGGGACATCCCCGTATGTTTAGCCCGATGACTAGAGAATTCTAATCCATTATCCCTCTACTTCTGGAAATATTTTTCGTCAACATTGTGGCCGGGTTGTGATTTTCCAATCCAACAACCTTTTACGACCCTCCCACCTGTTTGGCATTTTCTTAAATTAAAAAAAACATGATTCTTGTCTTTTTTTTTAGTTTAGGTGATAAATTTTAAAATAAATTAAAGCTTGCATTATTATTGCGTTCCGCAGTGGACTGATCGTTCAGACACGGTTTTCAGTAGATCATCGAAGTCAAGCATCACTGGCTGTGGTCAGTGTGTGGGTGGGAGACCATTTGGATCAGTCTGCTTAGGGACCGAGGGTGTGCGGTATTGGTTCTCCGAAGACATGCGGTATTGGTCCTCCAAAGAGGATGATCCGAAGACATGCCATCACAATTTTGATCTTCTGCAGAGGGGATGGCCCCTCCGCTTCGGGAGTCGGACGACCTGCACCCGAAGTCGAGCATTTTACGGTAGAACAGTTTAACGAAGACCAATATCGCACACACTCGGTCCCTACGCAGACTGATCCAAGTGATCACCCACCCGCACACTGACTCCAGCCAGTGATGCTTGACTTCGGTGATCTACTGGGAACCACGTCTTAACGATCAACCTATTGCTGTCAGAAATTATTGAAATTTTTATTACCGACCAGCAAAGATCGTTTTGTTCAGTTTTAAATGTAAACATTTTTTGGGGAAAATTTGGGTTGGAAATACTGGCAAAATTATGATTGCGCATTTAGCAAACAATTGTAAATCACACTTACATCAAAACTGTCAATTTCCATGAATACAAATTAAGGTACTAATATATTAGATAATCACTCATTTAAAAAAAAATTCCTTCTGGCAACCCTGTTTCAACGTATAATTCAAAAAACTCCATTTAGCATTTTAGCCCAAGTTATACATTTTTAATGATTACAACAAAATCCGTGAGAGCGATTGCAAATTTCTAAATTTTACATAACTATATTTGATATAAATTACAGATTTTTAAAAATGATTTTGCATGCACAGTTTGTATGATACTAACGGAGTAAAGCAATGCAAAATTCCAGGCACAGTTGGATGATTGTAGAGCGTGATGGTGCGACCAGGTGGGATTGTTACTACCATCTGCTCTTCGATCTAAATTGTGGCCAATTATGGAAACAACACTGCCGTGCCGTGTATTAATGTGCGAGTTCTATAACAAAGATCGAATGGCACGCACTAAAAAAATCACTTCCACTTTCAAATTCAAATATTCGCTAGATTGCAGACTTTTCGAACAATCCAATTCAGAGTTCTCCCATGATTCAGTTATTTTGTATTTGGTACGAAAAACTTGGTTTTGAATTCTCCATTTTTTTAAATGATTTCATATGATTTTTTTTTTATTTCAATTAAAAGGATGAAGTAAAAATGCAGTCTGGGACAATATTTTCTATTACAAATAAAATTTTGTTAATGAAAATTTTTATTTATCTCTGAATCATTTGTGTCCCGCAGTGGATTTATCGTAAAGACACGGTGCTCAGTAGAACACCGAAGTCAAGCATCACTGGCTGCGGTCAGTAAGCGGATGGTTGACCATTTTAATCAGTCTGCGTTGGGACCCGGTGCACAGTATCGGTCCTCGTTGAACTGTTTCACATTTAAGTGTTCGACTTCGCGAGCAGGCTGTCGGGCTACCAAAGCGGAGCTATTCTGTTGAGGATTAAAATTGCGATGGTATATGTTCGGATTATCCTCAGGGATGTTCCCCAGACTGTCACCGTAACCCAATGTGCAGTTCTAGTGCGACGTAAATAAAGTACCTACCAACCTACCTAAATTGCTTGTTTACATAAGACTTCACAAAGACGGTGTGGTTGGCAGTGTGTTCGTCGACTACGGCTTGGGTCGTGGTTCGATTCCTCGTGTTAAAGGTCATATGTTTATAAGGTTGTTTCGTCTCTTATCATGTCTTAGTGGTTCGAAATCAATTCTAATGTAATTTCTTGGTAGTTCAAGATCCGGAAAAATCAATACACGTGTGGGAACCTGGTGAAAGTGGCCATCGGTTTGTCATACACGTGGCCCACCATCTGATCTAAGTGGTGGTATGTAGGACATACAAGCACCAATATTATCGTCAGATTATCATTAAGTATCAACTCCAGGTAGTTGCCAATACCTCCTTAGTGTAGCTCGAGTGTGATATTAACAGCAAAAAACACAAAAGCAGGAAACGGGATCAATAATATAGTTTCTGGCGTTTGAAAAAGAAAAATTTTTCACCTCTTTACTTGCGGCAATGGCTTTGATGATTTTAAGTGTGCTCCATGCCGCAGAACTCACCTAGCATGCACCAGTATTGATTTATACTCATAATTACGAAAGAATATTCAACCTCGTTGCCAATAGCACTTAGTATTGTTTTTGTGGGACATTAAGCACTTACATTGATTGGCTTATTGAAAATAGTGAGCCGAAAACACAACTGGCAAACTATTCTATTGCCATGCAAAAATTAAATCATCGTAAGCTTAAAAAAATTCAACAATGTGATTTTATATATTTATCATTTTTTCATAATAAGCCACGTATTACAGTTTTTGTATCAAACTCTATCGTGAAGTACATACGTTGCTTTTTTTATTGAGTACTTGCCACTCGAGAAGAAGTGATGTGATTATGCCCCACCATCTGATTTAAATCAGATTTAATTGGATACCTGTAAGTGACGTCACGAGTGTGGGTTGAATCCGATTTGCCTCTGAATTGACAAATGCAACGATTTGCCTTAAATGACGGCACTTTCAGGCATCCAATGGCATGGCAGTATGAGAATTGCATCGAAATGAAATTTCATGATTGTGGTTTGTCTATCGATTAATTAATACAGTGTTACTTACGAGTGGAGTATGCTCGACATAGAATACAAAAAATAAAAGCTGATTAAAATAAATATTAGTATCTTTTTGTCTTGTTTTTTTTGGGGGGGAGGAGCACTTTTAGCTTGTTTAATACAAAAGGTTGAAACTCTGAATCGGTTAGGGATTCGAACTTAAATGTTAAAGATCGCAAGTACATGCCCTAATATTACTGAAGTATCTCCGAGGCCAAAAGATATAAGCGCTCAATTTTTAAAAATAGGAAAGTAATGTATATTTCTAAACATTCTCTCTGATGTTTAAATTAACAATGAATAACCTCACATAACTCCTTTGAATACTCAAAATTAAAATGAAAATCAGATAATTTTTTTATAGCAACCAAAAGAAGTTTGTGGTTAAACATTCTTGAAAGTTAAAAAGAAATATATATAGAAGAATAAGAATATTTTTTTCTAACATAAATCTATCTTTTGAATCTTATTAGTTAAAAATATCATAAAGCTATTCTCAAGGTTTCTATTGTGTTCTTTCACCTTAGCCTTAAACATTTGAAAAACTTTTATTTGGTTTTATGTACTACGTTCGCAACATGGCTATTAATGTTTATTGAAAAATGTTTTTGCATGTTTATTTTAACATTCCGTTCTTCTAACTTGTCAGCTCGTTTAAAAATATCGCTCAATTGATCGAAAATTTGAAATTTGAAGCTACTGTCATTCGAAAATGTTGAAATTGACTCCGAATCAGAGGTAGCGCAATTGATGCGCTTAAAAGTGTCGCGGGTAAATGTTGTACTCGAACATGCTACTTCCTCTACTTCGATATTGTGAA